CCCGCCCCCCGCCCCCCCCTCCCCAGCCGCTGCAGGCGGGCTGTCTCCTGAAGGAGACTCTAAATGGACAGAAGACTCCACCAGCCTTCCCGTCTCTTCTGGCTTTAATCCACGAGGAGTGTGTGAGAAATGGAGTTCGCCCCCTCCCACCCCATCCCCTGGAGCTGGAGAGGAGGGGACGGAGTGCGCCAGGTACAGGAAGCCCAGGGGACTGTCCAAGCCTCAGCCGGCCCCCTGGCTCTCCGATGGACAGAGGCATGAAGTCCAGGGCAGGTGCAGCATTTGGACTAACAGACACCAGAGGGGCAGAAAAATGACCACAAACATCTCACGTGTGGACCACACCCTGGCGGCACACGGATGGCACCGGGCAGTTAATGGCCAAATAATTAATGTTAAACCCCAACATCATTTGGTGGAGGGAACCATAGCAACTAAGAGGAGCATTCAATTTCATGATGCATTAGAAACAGGACAAAGGTCATGTCAGGGGCTAGCAGCAGCTTCAGGACCCCAACCTGTCATGACCCCAGATGGAGTCGCCACCCACCCTAAGAATCTTATAAGAGACTAACTTGTAAGTATCTGAGGGCAAGATTTAGTGAATGGCGAAGACCAATAAAAAACAAAGCTCAAAGCCCAGCTGGGGGTGGCGTGTACTGCACACTGCTACTCAGTGGGCAGAGGCCACACGTGAGGCCCTTGTTTCCTGGCCCCCTAAAAGCTGAGCATGGAGGTGTGCACCTGTAGCCCCAGCCACTCTCCTGGGAGGCTGAGGCAGGAGGATCGTGACACAGCGAGATCTTGAATTTTAAAAAGGAGGGGTCTCTAAACTGCCAGTTTGAAGCCAGTCCTACAAAAACAGTCTCAGTGTTCCAGTTATTCAGAAGACACAGCTAGTGGGGAAAGACGGCAGAAGCAGCAAGAACCAGCCCGGGCTAAGAGGGGTGAGCTGGAGAACGTCCCCGGTTTCTGCACACATGACGAGTAGAACCATCTCTCCCCGGTCCAGATGCCTTCGTTCCCACGGGGCACGATCCCGTCCTTGTCTGAGACGACCCATCTGTCCTCAATCCTGCCACCTGCCACGGGCACCCAGCATGTGCTGGGGTCTGTCCCAATGGCGTCACAAGCAAAGCCCCCCTTGGTAGGGGAAGGGGCCCAGTCCAACCCCACCTGGAAGCAGCTCGGCGGGCAGGGGTGAGAGAAGGAGAGCAGTCCTCTGCTTGTCCTTTCTGAGTACACTGCTGCGGTTTGGCTCTGGGGTGGGACGGCTGGGGACATACTGTTTTGTGGTTCTCATCTTGCGTCTGCGGCAGCTGTCTGGGGCTGAGGGAGACTACTGTAGGTGCCAGCACAGTGTCAACACCAGCACAGTTTCCGGGAGGGAGGCCTGGATGCCCGAGGTTCGGAGAGACAGTCTCCAGTCTGCTCCAGGCTTCAGCGGCACAGGCGCTGAGCAGGCCAGGAGAGGAGCTGCTTGCTTTGTTCTCACAGGGAAAGGAGGAGATATGGTGGCCAGCCCCAGCCAAGTGGCCCTAGTCAGGGAGCTGTCTGGAGGTGACCAGGGCCTTGTGAGCCAGACCCACAGCCAAGTATGGGAAGGACACACGAGCTGTGGGCAGAGGCTGCAGTTCAAGTAATTGCACCTTCAGCTGTGTTGGGGGCGTCGTGGGTGTAGGTGGTTCCTTTTGCACTAGTGGAGAGAGCCGGGGTGCTTTCCTGCCCCCTGCAGGCGTCCCTCAGGGCTGCTGCCACTTCTGGGAAGCGGGGCTGCGTGTCACTTGCACTGGTCCATGTTGCCGTCAGGAGTCCTTGCTTGGTCAGCGGCCAGGGATGCCTCCTCGCTGTGCCACAGGCCATAGCCGAAGTAGATGGCAAAGCCTGCGGGCAGAGAGCAGAGAGGTGAGCATGAACAGAGCAGGCCCAGCTGCCGCACAGTTGGCCAGGCCTGGGAATCAGAGGGCAGCCTGGGGCTCACTGGCCCACAGCAAGGCCTCTTGCCTGCTGCTTGTCCCTGCCTGGCCTGAAGTTGTAGCCAGCAGCCCTGGAGGGCTGATTTCCCATATCTGGAGAAATGGCATGACATTGCAGACAGGGTCAGCAAAAGTCCCTGTCTAGCTCCTACATGTGGCAAAGTCATGAGTTCTACTGGATGGCCTCAGGGCAGTGGCATTTCCTGAGCAGACAGAGCAGTGAGGCCAGGATCTTGGGAGGGCCTTGGCCCTCTGGCTTACCCCTAACCACCTCTGGATGCTCCAAGAGAATGGGAAAGTCCTGCTCTCTGCAGGACTTCCAGCACGCACTTGAGGTCACAGGCTCTCTGTCTAGATAGAACCTACTGGCCATTTTCTCTGAGTGACCATCAGATGCAGGAGATGTATGACACCCAGGAACATATTTAACATGAGAATCCACAGCCCCGTTCTAGAACCCAGGACACCAAGGGTCTGTGGTGGAATCCAGAGCGAGTACTTATACCCACCCACCCAGGGATTATGGAAGATGGCCCTGGGTCACCATGTACCACTGACACAAGGGGAGCAGGCCTTAGAGGAAGGACCGGGGGAGAGGGGAGAATAGCAGGTGGTGTGGTGGTTAAGGTGCTGGACTTTCACATGGCCAACTATAGTCTGAGTCTTCCCCTCTCTCTCTGTTTCTCTCTAGTGTATACACATGCCCTATAGCAAATTTTTAAAAATAAATTAATAATAATAAATACTTTTTCTTTTTCTTTCTTTTCTTTTTTTTTTTTAAAAAAGGAAGGACTCAGTCCTGGAAGAATCCCGGGGACTTTTACAGACATGCTGACAGAGGCAGCACCACCTCTGTGAAGTCTCTAGGAGTGGGCCTCAGTGAACTGTGAGCAGCTCTGTCTCACGAAGCCTCTTGGACACACCAGCTTAATTAGACAGGAGCTAGACTGTGATGAAAATAAGGACCCGTCCCCTGGGCCTGCAGAGCAGAGGGCCACAGAGTATGTCTTAGGAAAAAAGCACCCTCGTGAGCCCTGAAAGGCCATGAGGCAGCAGCCATGTGTCAGCCACCTGATCCATCAGGGCTGGGCCCCTGGACATCAGTACCAGGATGAAGCAAGAGCCTGGACCCAGTCCTCCCAGCACTTGAGGCAGAGACCCAGATACTGTTCTGAAGAGCACCACTGACTACATGTTTTCAGTGCTATGAAATTTGGAAAAGGAAGGCTCTGCAACATTAACCACACAGGCTCAGGGCTGGGGAAGGGTGGGAGAAAATGGGGTGCTGGACGCGTTGGCCACAGCGAAACCCATGACCCAACGTACCTATGAGCATCCACACTGCAAACCGGACCCACGTGCCCTGATCGAGCTGCATCATGAGATAGACATTCACGAAGATGCTCAGCACAGGCAGCACAGGCAGGAACGGCACCTGCAAGGACATGGGTGTCAGACTCCATCGAGGAAGGGTAGGGGGAAAGGGGCATGAGGCCAGGCCATCTGCTGGATTCTGTCAGCAAACTGCCTAGGAAACGATGCTGCTTCTGGGTGCCACAGGGGCTGTCAGAGAATCTGGGGAGAAGGAAGTGGATGCCACCCCAACCTCCCAAGTCTCCTGACTCACCCTGATAGGTGGGAAGTTGGGTTCTAAGCTACAAATGCCACAGCAGGCTCCATTCGAGCATTCTTCTCTTGCCACTCCACTATAGAAGGGACTAGGAAAGGGTCTTCCACTATCTCTCTAAGGCTGCACTATTTTATTATTCACACAGTCTAAAAACACAGAATGACACCCCTGCACAGACACTTACGAGAAGCCTCTGTGGACGAGGTGCATGCCACTACCTAAGAGCTAAGAGAAGGCAGGGGTGCCTCCATGCAGGCCCAGGTCCTCTTGCAATAGGCATCGTCCATGCCCATGGGGTCTCTGCCTCCATTTTGCCTGGGACTGGCTAACTAGAGCCTCCCAGTGAGAGGAGCAGGATCTGTGGCCTCCCATGAGGTTCCCTACAAGCCTGTTAGTCAAGCTGCTCACCTTAAATGAGAGTTTGGTCTTGCTCTCAGGCTGCCTCCAGACGATGACCGTGACCACCATGCACAAGAGGGCAGATCCTGTGAGCCCAAAGATTGCCCACAGTGCCCCGCTGCTCAGAGCCTCCCTTCCAAGCACAGCCACGATGCAGAAGGCGATGATAAAAATAGCTAAGGAGAAGAGACATTGAGGCACAACTCAGTCATTTTTCAGGTCCCCATAGAGATCCTCAAGTCTCCCCAAAACCTATCAAGAGGGAGCCTCTGTATCTATAGGCATCAAGTACAATTAGGAGAGGATAATAGAAGCCCATTCAGTCCAGCAGCAATAGAAGCCCATTCCTCTGGTACCTTCTCCACACCCGTTCCCATCCCCACTCACAAGAACCTATTCAATGCCAACAGGAAAGACCCTAAACCCCTTACAGGGAAGGGTAAGCTCTTACCTATGAGGCTGGTTGAAATGTTCACAATTAGCCCAGAAAATTTGGAAGGCTCCATGTTTTTAGGTGAGAGTATGGTTTTCAAAGCAAAGGTCTCTGATTCCGGTAAAAAGCCTGTCTGGGAATCACTGGTGCTCACCAATTCATTCTGGTCTACTTGATCTAGTTCATCAGTAGTTCTGGCCATCTGGTATACCAGGTTAGGTTGCTCTGGCTGATACCTATAAAGAAACATTATGTGTGATCACCATAATCTCCTTAATTAACCCAAAGAGCATGCCTTAACTCAAGTTCTTGGTATGCCTTCAAAGGTAAGGAGCTCAGGACACAAAGAGACCTAGAGTGGGGAGGATATGGTTTAACAGTGTATTTCTACCAAAGAAAAGACAGAGAAAGCAAGACCTCACCTCCTGCTCCCGCTTCTGGGCAACACTCTTACTAGGTGTTTCTGTTTTGAGGGAACAAGACCACTGGAAACTAGACCTGAGGAGTGTCCTCTGTGAAGCAGCAGTGGCCCTCAGATGCTAAAGCTATTAGGCCACTCCCACAAAACAATGGCTACGAGGAGGGAAAAAATAAGGACAGAAATAGAAGGCACTAAACCTAGGAAGCTATTTGGTACAGAGAGCCAGAGAGATAGATTTGACACATTCTCAGTCCACGTTTTATGTAGATTAGGTGCACTAAGAGCTTTAGAAATGGAATCAGATGTCTGAGAGGTATAAATACCTAAAAAAAGGAATAAGGAGGCTCTGGCCAGAAGCCTCATCCTGAGAATCTCCATAGGCACAGTTCTCATAATGAATGTTGCCTTGGACCATCCCTGACCCAGAGCCTTGGCCTCCCATCATGAAGGAAAGTCAGAGCCCAGGGATGAACTTTTGTGAGAGGCACTGAGACAGAGGAGAACACGAGGCACCAAGTCTAGGCCTGGAGTCACTTTACCACAACTGTCCTATTCATGGGCTTGCCTGGCCCACATGAGACGAACAGCCAGGATCTGAAAGGTGCCCCTGGATGTCAGTCTAGGCTGCCTCATGCCATATAATCATCATGCTACCCATGATGCATTGAACCTATAGAAATAACACTGACAGTTTCACAGGCCTGGGATTTTTACCTGGTCCCTGAGTCCCCTCTGCCCCAAGAACCTGGACCAAATTGCCCCAGCCTTCAAAAATTCCAATCCTGGGATCCAGACCTAAGAGTGAGGTTGTAAACCTGCCTCTGTCCTCCCAACATTGAGCTATAAAAATGAGGGCACATGATAGAGGGGTGCATGGAGCTACCCAGACTCTTCCTGGACCAGATTCCACCCCCATCAGCAGCTCTCAATACTATCACCAATTGAATGCCATATTAACCATTAATTTGAACCATTAAGAGCCTACCAAGGGGGACCAGCAGTTAGTGTAGTGGCTATGTCGCTGGACTCCCATGTAGTTGACCCTGGTTCGAGTCTCGGACCCGGTAGCTTAAACTCATGCCAGGCACATATACGTGTGTGTGCCCAAGATCCCGAGAGGAGAATGGAGGAGAAGGGATTGCAGCGTGGCCATCATCCCTGGGGGGTGATTTCTCACTTTCTTCCTCTCTGTCTTTCTGGCAAGCACATGTGCCCTATAGCAAAAACATCTCATAAAAAAAAAAAAAAAAAGAGTCTACCAAGGTACATCTGCCTTTCTCTCGTGGAACCCAGAAAAATCATACATACCGTAAGACCAAAACACAGGCGGCGACCAGTGAGTAAGCCAGGAGAGTGCCAATGGACATGAGATCCACCAAGTCCTTCAGGTCAAACAGGAAGGCCATCACAGCTGGGGAGGAGACAAACATCAGGAGTCATGGATTGCCCTCTCCACACAACAACCACTAGAATCACTGCCCATGCCCCAGGGCACACAAGAGACACTACATTTACTCCCATCCCATCCCTGGCCTTTCCACAGAAAGATACTACTTAAAGAGAAGACAATCTCAAGATTAAATCACATACACAGTCCTGTACAGACTGTAGAAATAACTAACATTTAAATAGAGCACTTTCATCCTTTTTTAATCCTATAGCAACTTTGCAAGTCATCTCCATTCTACATAGTGAAACTAAAGTTCAGACAGCTTGGGACACTCATCCAAGATCACACAACTAGTACATGGAAGAGTTAGGATTTTAACTAGGTTCTTGTGACTTGAGTCCAGTGTGTCTTTGCTGACTCATAAATAATCATGTGCATTCACCCATTTTAAATCCAACATCCATCCATCATCTACCCATCATCCATCCATCCACCAATCCATTATGCATCCTGCTCACTCATTCATCTATTCATTATCCAAACATCATCCATCCTATCCATACATTCATCATCCAAACATCAACCATTCATTTACTGGCCATCTATCATTCACTGAATATCCATCTAGCACTGACAGAGAGTATGTCAGTCACTGAGATCTAGGCATACTTCTTCCACCAAGGCAGACCACACATACCCTGGCCTCCCTGAGTATATCCTCCCAAGACATAAGCATGAGCAGAAAACAGTAATGGGGGTGGAACCAGCAATTGGTGTAATGGCTATGTCGCTGGACTTCCATGTAGTCAACTGTGGTTCGAGTCCCAGACCCAGTGGCTTAAACTCACGCCGGGTGCATGTGCGTATGTGCCCAAGATCCCGAGAGGAGAATGGAGGAGAAGGGATTGCAGTATGGCCATCCCCCCAGGGGGTGATTTCTCGCTTTCTGTCTCTCTGTTTCTCTCTTGATTTTCTAGTGAGTTCATGCACCCTATAGCAACAACCCTCTCCAAAAAAAAAAAAAAAAAGAAGAAGAAAAGAAAAGAAAACAGTAATGGCGGAAGAGAGGATGGCGAGTCTGGTGCTATGGGAGGACTCACAGGGGCTTCTAATACAACCAGGTGATCAAAGAAAGCAGAATTGTTCTTTGTGAAATCACCTCACTATGCTCCAACTTTACAATGAAGTAAGCATGCATACTTACTTGAAAACCCTTTGTAAGTTTTGTGAGAGTATATGTGTCTATTCATGTCGGTGTATGTCTAGTTAACCATTTAAAAAATAATAACTTGGCTAGATTTTCTTTGGGATATTTTCAAATCACATGCAATCAACACAAGTTAAAACATTAACACTATTTTACTACAAATCTCTCTTCCTTTCTCTAGATCACTGCAACTGAAAAAAAAGAAATGCAAATTGAGGATAAATAGTAGGATTAAAGAGCAACAAGGGCCTTCTGGATAATGAGAACTGTATCCAACTGTGTGCGCCACAAGTGCCTACATTCCTGTTCATAGGGAACCTGAGACAAATTTCTTCCATGTGAGGTGATTTTAGAAAACCAAATGCTTACTCCTGCCAAATGAAAGAAAGAGTAGACCCTTGGTTTGGTGAACGGCATGCGCTCTGTAATTACTTGAAAGATTACAGTTTGATCTCCCTTTATTGGCACGGGAAGGAAACCAAGACCAATCTTTAATATGTTCAAGTTGTATGGTAACAATGAAAAAGTAATTATTATTTATAATTTCTTACTTCCTCAAATATACTGACTATATTCTGGCATGTCACAATCTTCAACCTGACCACTATGAATCTCTCAAGAGTGTAGAGTTATACAAAAAATGTTTTTAAAATAGCCTTTTAATAATAAATATTAATCTAAACTAAACTAAGCACATTTTGTTAAGGACATAAATAACTAATGAGACGGTAAATAATTCATTCATTTAATATGGTCAAGTGTCTTGCCAATGTGAGTGGCTAAGTCACTGAGGTCCAAATTGTGACTGGTCACATGTGTCCCACCACTCTTCTCAGATCCAGAATAAGCCCAGCTGTTGTGACATAATGCAAACGAAGAACCAAGAGCCAGCTCTGGGCTTCCAGCATGTGCACCCTGATTCATGTCTTGGTCTCCTTTTTCACACTGGCACAGTGGGATGGCACCTGCCTTTCCCAACTATAGAATTCAATCACAAGGGAGTTGGCAGATGGCATGGTAGTTAAAGTGCTGGACTCCCACATGGCTGACCACAATTTGAGTCTCAGACCCAGTGGCTTGCTTTCTCACTTTCTTTCCCTCTCTCTTTCTCTCACTGTGGTCAAATTTAATAAGAAGAAGGAGGAGAAGAAGGAGAAGAAGAAGAAAGAGAAGAAGAATTAAAGTAAATTCTTAAAAAAAAATTACATCATGAAAGGAAACATATAAAATAGCAGCACACAGTGGTGTGCACTTGAGTTTCCATTCAGGTTTCCTTTTCCTTAATGGGGGTGGGAGAGCAGGGGTCCCTGGAACATCACACAGCTCAGAGGGCTCATTAGTAAATTGTACCCTTGTTGACAAACCTGATTTCATTTGGGTCTGCCATTATTTATAAATTTAGGGGTAAATGGCTTCATCAGCATCACCCTTAATAGTCATCAGGCAATAGTTGGCACATTTTATAAAATACTGATGGTAAAGACCACTCCTTTTCCAGAGAACTCATAAGCTAAGATATATGAACACTTGATTTCTAGGCACTAAACACAAGTCTCACTGGGCTTGTACAATGGGTTTTCAAAAAGTTCACGGGAGGGGATCTTGACCAACGAAGATCCTCTGGCCAGACTTCACCCTCCTGCTCCCCAGTCTAGCCAGGAACCAGAATAAGCCAATCAACAGCCATCTGTATTTGAGTTCCAACCAGCCCCATTCAGGGATCTTGATCACCAAAAACCCTCTGGCCAGACTTCACCCCCCCCAGCTCCCCATTCTAGCCAGGAGCCAGGTTAGAGCACCCCACTTTTTCTGTCTCTTTCCATCTTCTCTATCTTTAATTTAAAAAAATTTTTAAATTTAGCTCTCAACTGCTCTTTTGTCTTTCTAATTCTTAGCTCCCCCCTGCCCCCATAGGATTAGCCAATCAGCAGCCATCTATATTTGAATTCTGAACATGCTGTGCAGTTTTCATTTTTTGACTAAAAAAATTTTTTTCTTACTATTTTCATCTTTTTTATTTTCTCTTCTTTGTTTTTTTCTATTCCTTTTCCTTTTACCTTTCTCACTTTTCTGCTCAGCCTCCACACACTGTTTTTCTAGACAGGTCTAGTGCTGAGTAGCCAAATATCTGAATACTTTTAGGGTCAGATTAATCCTCAATTTTCATTGAATCACTTGTGCAAAGGGAGAAAACCAGTACTGTTTACAGACTGCAGGTCATCTCCTTCTGCATTCCTCTGATTGCTCAGATTTTACTCAAAAAAAAATAGGAAAAAGCTTATAATCCATCAGATGGCCAGAAATCACCACAGAGGCACAAGAAATATGAGAAACAAAGGAAATATCTCTCCTCTAATAGAAAAGAATAACACTTCTTTCTCTACAGAGAATACAAGGAAACTCATGGAAATGTCAGATTAAGAATTTAAAATATTGATAGTGACAAAGCTAACAAAGATGCAAAAAAAGAGAGACAACGACCTCTAGAAGAGCAGGAGAGAAAAAAATGACACCGAGTTCCAGGAGCGAGGAAGTTCTTGCACGATCTAAAAGAGGAGATACACATCATAAAAAAGAATCCAATGGAATTGTTAGAGAGGAAGGCTGTAATACAGGAAATCAAGACTTCCATTGAAAGTATCAAAAGCAGAGTAGATTATGCAGAAGAATAAATCTCAGATGTAGAAGATAGAATCCCTCACCTAGAAAAATTCACCAAAAAGACTGAAAAAATAACCCCCCAAAATGAGAATAACATACGAGTAATACTAGATACCACTGAACACCCAAACATCCAGATCACTGGTATCCTAGAAGGTGAAGAAACTAATAAAGATATCGATAATCTATTCCATGAAATCCTAGAAGAAAACTTCCCAAACCTAGAGAGTCATTCAAATATCTACACCCAAGAAATGCAAAGGACCCCACAAATAATTGACCCAAGAGGATCTTCTCTGAGGCACATCATAGCCAGAATGACCAAAACCACAGATAGAGACAAGATAGTAAAATTAGCAAAAGAGAAACGTCTAGTTACTTTCAAAGGATAACCTATAATGTTAATGTCAGACCTGTCATCAGAAACAATGCAAGCAAGGAAAGAATGGGAAAATATATTCAAAGTGGTAAGTGAAAAAACAATTTCAACCAAGAATACTATACCCAGAAAGATTATCTTTCATATGGGGAAAAGACAAAAACATTCTCAGATAAACAAAACCTGAAAGAATTTACCAACACCAGACCAGCTCTCCAAGAAGTGCCGAAGGGAGTACTATACCAAGAAAACTAAATGCACAGAAATGCACAGAAATAAGAGTACAAGATACAAACAGAATGCCAACCTAATAGTAAGGACAAGTCCAGAGATGAATGTTAACTTGCAGAGTTTAAATGGAAAGATCAGACCACAGTAATACTGCAAATTCAGTAGTAGAGAGATTAACTGCATGAGTCTGAACTAGTGACATAGAATTTTTAAAATTTAGACTAAAACATTACTGATTTTCTTTGATGCTTTGATTTTCATATTTAAGGATTTTTGTCTTCGCTTGAACTGTTGGTAGGTTCATCTACGTACTATTTGAACTGAATCCTAACTTTTTTTCTGTCTTTAAGGTTTAAGTAAATTTCTCTTAACATTTTTTGATTTTGATCTATTAAAACTAAAACTTTTCTCTTGAAATTAAAAAAATGCATTAAAAAATACCTATTAATGCCTATTTAATGACTGCAGTAAGCTATATAGCACCAGTGAGGTGCTTTATAGTATGTTTGCTTTACTCACTGAAGTTTACACCAAAAGTCAAACATGCATTCATAAATATGGACATAGCAGCTGTGCTTGCTATTGAAAGTCTTTAAATTAATTAAGATCTTTAGTGAATCAATAAAATGTGAAAAAAAAAAAGGTATGGAAAACAACTGTACATGCCAGAGACAGTGTGGAAGAAGGAGGGGAGTTGGCAAAGGGTGAGAGGCAGGGAATCAAGAGGGAGGGAAAAGGCAAAATATGTAAGAAACAAGAAATAGAAAATTATTTGTTGATGATAACATGTATGATAATATCTTTGAGCCAATATTCAGTGTATACTAGATGGAAAATCTCATTTTGTATACTGTATTGATGTACAGTGAATGATGGTAAATAAATAAATTAATTAATTAAAATAAAAGTTTTTAGGATATAGCCCGTGATACAGAATTCACATGTGGAGTTCAAATTTTTTTGCACCATAACACACTCTTACTTTATCTCCATCTTTTCATAAACTCTTTGAAGTCCCCGTGTATCACGTCAATGTGCCAAAGTCTACTGAGAAATGTTTGGAAAAGGGAAAAGACAAAAGGCTTTAAAGGGACACATGGTATGTGCTCTATACAGGTTCAATCTCTTCAAGAATCCCATCACGTCCTCCATAAAACTAGCTTTTGCTTTTTGTCAAAGGATAGTTATCTTTCAAATAATTAAGGTAAGAGTGTAGAAACTAAGTGTGAAAAAGACCAGTTAAAATTTCTCATAGATAAGGGGCCAGCAAGTAACATGGTAGTTGAGAGCACTGGACTCCCACATGGCCAACTGTGGTTCGAGTCCCGGAAATGCAGGCTTTCTCTCTCTCTCTCTTTCACTCTAGTCAAATTAAAATAAATGAAGGAAGGAAGAAAGTTAAATGAAACAATTCTACTAAAAAAAAAATTTCTCACAGACAAATACAATTCAAGACTTCTTGGTAGGGGATAACTCTGTTGTTGGTAAAATTAGATCCAGGACTTACCAGCAATGGCACCTGAGGTTAATGTGGCGATTATTGGTGTTTTGGTCCTATCATTGATTTTGGCCAAAAATTTAAATAGCAGTCCATCTTCAGCCATGGCATAGATAACACGAGGCATGGGAAACATGGAACCTAAGAGACTAGTGGAGGGGTCAGAGAGGCAAAAATACATGAGTCAAATTAGTTCATCAGGAATAAAGGCACTATATATAACCACGCAAAGCTCATCACAGAGGAGAGGGAACCCGAATTTCTCACCAAGAACCACCATTCCTCCCTACTCTGTGAAGCCCACCACTACAAGACTTGGCATTTAATAAATGAAGCCCAGAAAAGTACATACTGGGAAAGAACGGATTGAGACAAAGAATAAAGAATATCTAACATAAACTAGCATGAGATCCAGTCATAAAAAAAAAAGGGAAAGAATATTTTGTATTTGTTCCCTCAATTATTTCTAGCTGAATCAAAAAGAAAATAAAAGTACCACCACGTTCATGAGGATTTCTCTGTGGTAAATCAATATTTAGCAAACAGTCCCTGTTTAGATAGGCTCATGCGCAAAATGCTTCTCATCAAATAGGACGCACTCCCTTTTTCAAAGCAGCCCCCGCTTTTACAGTCAAACAAAGGACAAGAACACGGTGTCCAAATGAGGGTGCCTAATCTAGCAGCCACAGTAGGGACAGCCAGCCAGTGCCCCTTGAAGAAAGCGACAGTGAAAGTAAAACATGAATAACAAACAGCTCTTAGGATAATTCATGGCAACACTAAGAGGAATGAGCAGGCCATCAGGACTATTTCGAGCTAACCCGCCCAGGCCTTTCCAGGGCCTCCACCAGCCTGAGTCCCTGCAGTGGTTCCAGCCTCCTCTCACAAGTGGCCACAGGAAGTCCACACCCTCTTACCTGGTTGAAAGGGCGCAGAGGGAGCCGACGGCCACCGCATACTTGGCACCTTCCCAGCCCACATGCTTGAAGGCGTCAGGCAGGGGGCTGTCCTTGTCCAGGCAGAAGTACGGCATCATGAGCGTGAGGGCAGCAGACACCCCAAAGTACGCGATGAAGCAGATCAGGAGGGATGCAACAATCCCCACAGGAATTGCCTTCTGGGGGTTCTTGACTTCCTCACCTAGAAGCAGCCAGAGGTCAGCCCATGGAGGGTAAGGTGGCTGGCAATTGTCACAACCACCCATGGGACATCCAACGCTCCTCGGTGCCAGAAAACCCAAGCAACACCGCAAACAGCGACTCTGCAGTGCCTGACCCTGCAGGAACCGGGGTCTTCTGGGAACAGAGGAGTGGCCCTCAGAAACACAGACCAGAAGGCCCATCATCCCAGGTGATATTCTCAGCCATTACATCACACTCAGCCCAGGAAGAGACTTGTTTCCTTTGGCAGAGAAAAATCGAGAGGTTTGATGGGGCCCAGCCTATGCAATTTGCCAGGATGACAATATTTTTAATGGCCTCAGTCGTCCCGGATGATGCAGAGTGATGACGGCAGGCAGACCTGCTGTCATTATCCCATCCTAACAGCAGGCTCCCAAGTCGGGCTTATGATGCAGTTTCCTGTCAGGAACTGCCACTTGGGGATGTGTGGAGAGCTAGGATTGGCAGGAAGCTGCAAATCTACACATTACTGTATGTGTCAAAGAGCGGCGGCTCGAACGTGCCAACAGGAAGGGAACAGCAGCTGTGGGTGGCACGAGCCCCGCCAGTCTGCTGGCAGATCAGAGGACTGGCCCCGGGTGAGGGGGCGGGCATACCTGTGGTGGCGATGCAGTCAAAGCCCACGAAGGCATAGAAGCAGGTGGCTGCCCCCGACAGGACACCCGAGAACCCGAAGGGCATGAATCCACCAACGCCAGGTTTCCCTTCTTTTGTGTCACTAGAGAAGAGAGCAGTGAACGTCAGACACGTGTTCTGCAGCCTTTCTAAGCACAGTGCTCATCTCGAAAAGAAGCAAGACCACACAGTGTCCCCAACCTGTTCCTGCCACCAGGCCTGGTGGCTCCAGACCTTTGAGATCTCTCATGATCCTCAGGATGGCTGCTGCCACCCACAGCATTCTGTGTCCACAAGTCCTCTGCGTTTCATGGCCTGGAGCTACAATGGTACATACTAGCGCCCTACCCAGAAGCCCCTTCTATGTGAAGACTTCAGTCGAGAGGCAGGGACTGTAAGGCAGGAGGTCCAACAGAAAAAAGAAAAGAAATCAACCCCCATGGCTGATCCCACACCTCCCAGGACCTTCAGAGACACAATGCATCTCTTGGACACAGAACCACCGGACAGGTACACAGTCCTGTCCCAGGCCCAGGATTTTCTAGTAATTTGGGTCTCAAAGCATACATTCCCAGAGAAACCAAAAATGAAAAAAAAAAGAACCTTCCTTCAGCACCTGTACACACAGGGTAGGAAGCCAGAGCCACTGAGCTTTGGCCCTGTGGGGTCTGAGATCGGCCCTGGCTCGGGTTCATAGGTGGGACTCAGCACATATTTGTTAAATTAATGAATGCAAGATCAAACCAGCACAGCACTAAATAGAAGCACAGCTCCTTAACATTCAGGAGACAGTCCCAACAAATCTGACACCCATGACCGGACACCAGGCCCGGGTGTAGGATGGCATTTCAGGTCCTCTCAGGGCACATGGTGGCCCTCAAACCCCTGCTCCCATTGAAGAGATGACCTGACTTTTGCTCCCACGTGCTCAGTTTGCTGGGGTTGCACAGGGCAGTTGGTCCAGAAGCTTCCCTGGCCACAGTCGCCAAGTAATCGTAAGCCATCTGCACCCCAGCCCAGTTAAACCCCTACTTCCAGAAAGGCAGCCCCTTTTCCTTTTCTGCCACTCACACCCTCGGGTGACAGTGAGATGTGAGCTCTCTGTCACAGGGTCACGGTGACCAGACCAGAAGATGATCTCCACCCTCACCCACTCCACCCTGGCCCCCCAACGCAGCTGTGCTGACAGCTACCCGGCCATTCAGGACAACCTGCCCCAAACCTTACCACTTCCCAATGTGAGAATAGAAGCCGTGTAGAATATCCTAACCTATAAACACTGATGTTTCTAAGGCTGGGTTAGTGACCCATCTGTGAAATCTGCCTCCAAAGGGATTCAGCAACAGGTTAATGAAACCAACAGACGGTTTATACCCAACTCTTCCAATGGAGATTAAGCCTCACACAGTTTCTTAGGGGTGGTCACATTTCTCAGTTACAGATTCTGCTGTCCAGACATTGGAAGTCCATGCAGGAAGATGTTCCCAAATGCCTAACCATGGGGCCTGCTGCAGTTCGGTGAGCAGCAACGTGAGAGAAGGCCTCAGAAGGGCATAAGTGATGGATGTAGGAAAAACTGTTGCCAAAGAAAGTGTATTATGTTATTATTTCAGACCACAGCAGGATTACCATAAACCTATAGCCCAATTATGGCAAACGCACTGCCCAGGACAAGCCAGTCAAACCGAATGCCATCACTGAGGGATTGGTTGTGAGCAACCATGAGGCAGAAGTACCTAGAAAGATTTGGGCAATTCCCTTTCAAGGGCAGAGGAAACTTCATGGACCTACATACATGATTAAACCCCAGAGAGACGGGACTCGCAGAAGGGGACTAAAGGCTGGAACATGCTGTTAGCACGTAGACACGAGAGCATGGTAACGGTGCGAACGTGACAGGAAGCCTGGAAGATATGGATGGCTGGCAGAGGGACAAGCCAAAACAGAAGGCATCCTCCTAGCTCCTCAGCACTGTCACTGGGAGAGTGAGAGAGCCCTCAAAGTCAATGACAGATAAACTCAGGGAGCCGTGTGCATGAGGAGATAGCTCAGCCCTGCTGAGCATCCTCCCCACACTCCATCTCCAACATGGACACCACGAAGGAGGGCCTAGGTGCTGGGATACTATGCAAGTATAAAAACATGGGTCTGATATACAAAGATCTGTAGGGGTGCTAGCAGGTGAAAAATGCACAATATGAAAAACATATGAGGAATTCCGCCTTTTGTGTAAGGAAGGGAGAAATAACATACATATATTTGCTTGTGTCCCTATAAAGAAAAACTGGGCGCTTACATGCACACACAAATAGTAAAGTTAAAATGATTACCCATGGGGGCAGATGAGGTAGACAGAGAGGAATAGAAACAAGATTTCTCAACCTAAGCCTTTTTTATAGCATGATTGCCATATGAACCATGTGACCAGATCGATATTCATATACATGGACCATGTATCATATAAGAAATGTTTGGGTGTTACTAATCTCAGTGGCAGAATCCATTCTACAGAGTCTCAATCCAAAACATTTGGAAATATCGCTCAGAAGGCTAAGACAGGTTTCCTGACCTATGACTCCATTAAAATAATTAACTGCTTGTATGGATATGGTAGTTGTGTCCACTCATCCAGCCATTTCCACATGAAGGAACAGGGATGCAGGCTGGGACGGACTGCTCACAGCCATCACTTGGCACATGTCATCAAATGACAAAGTGAGGCCAAACCCAGGTCTTAGTTCAGTGCTGCCCCCTGCAGTCTGGGTGACCAGTCCTGCAATCCACTCAACTGTCACTCAGAAGTTACCGTAAAGAATAACTGGCAAAGTGGGGCCAGCAGATGGCATAGTGGTTATGTCGCTGGACTCCCACATGGCCAACCGCAGTGTGAGTCCTAGACCATGTGCCTTGAAAATCATGCCAGGTATGTGTGTGTGCATGCCCAAGATCCCCGGAGGAGAATGGATTATGGTGTGGCCATCCCCACTTGGGGATGATTTTTCACTTTCCCTCTCATTGTCTCTGTGTGTGCATCTCTCTCTCTTTTTCTCTGCAGCAAGTGCACACACCCTAAGGCAAAAACCTCTACAAAAAAAAAAAAAAAAACACGCAAAATAAGGGAAGTGGAGAAGGTCTCCCACATATGTCCTTTTCCCACTGCATCAGTGGCAAATGTCCTTTATCAGAACTCCAAATCTGTCACTTCTACCTACCATGATGACGTAAACATTTAGTCGTCCCACAAAGCCACATTCCCCACTTCCGCTACACAGTAATGGAACTCTTACTTACTATAGTAGACCTGTGACCACTAAGATCCAAGACTGTGTTCCTAGATTCTCTAGCTACAAGGCGTAGCCATCTAAGTTCTGAATGACGAGGTCTAAGCAGACATGGTGTATGCATCTCCTGAGAACTGTCAGAGAGAAGGGAGTGGAGGGAGGGTGCCTGGCTGCTGTTCCCTTGTCCTTCCTGGTGGCTAGAGCAGGACCAGCCATCTTGGGTTGGTCCAGGGGGTGACCCTGGGAATGAGAAGGACTAGACTCCTGTCCTTTGCAATGACGCATTGGGCTGGCCCCCTGGCTGAGGGGACATCTCACTGAAGCCAATGTTACTTTAGGGTTTCCTGCTCAACTGACACCAGCTGACAAACTGTCTCAGCAGGCTCCCGTGCAGTACTGATACTTTGCTCTTACTACTCGCTACCCATTTATAGAACAGTTCGCAGGAACGCCAGAAGCAGCACAAGTCAACGGCAGTGAGGAGCCAGCGAGACTGGGGGATAGTACTCCTATCCCAGACCAAGAGTCGGACTCCCAGGCTCAAAGGAGCCTTCCCAGGCAGCCACCAAAAAAGCATCGTAAAATCACAAACCCAATGTGGTCGAAACCGCCTCCCAGCCCACGCCTGCTGAGGCTCCTCCGTTTTATATGGTTTTGTCGGGCCATACTATTTCAGAGGGACAAGCAATTTCATGCAAGACTACATGGCTGCTGTCAGAAACACAAATCTAGAGTTGGGAAAACAAAGCTCAGAAATTTTAATAAAACGAAAGAGCAAGCTAGGCTCTATCGAGTCCTATTGAACTCCACCTCTTAAAGCAGCTAGATCCCTGCCATTCCCAGCAGAGTCAGGGCCCCATCTGTGGCCAAGGGGACAGGGCAACAAATCCCTCTTTATCTGAGAGGTTAGCACAGGTCATCAACACTAGGGCATCCAGCGTGAGGATGAGCAATGAGAGTAAATGCCATCGGCTGGCAAGAACCATCTTCATAAAAAAAAAATAATCAAATGAAATCTCAGCTGGCAACCGGCAAATAAGAGGTACCCTCTATTTTTCATTCGTGACCTGAAACAGCAACCAGGAAATTCTGCTCTCAAAGTTTTCAAAGAATACCTATTTGACTTCAAAGCGTATTTTGAATTGGCTTTATTGTACCCTGAATTAATGGATACCAATAAAGCTAACATAAATGTGACCCTGGAATGCTTGGGAGTGGCATATGACCAGTTCTATTTTCTCTGCCACAGAGTTTACAAAAGGCAGGCTACTTTTATTTGAACCGTTCACCACAGAATACAAGTGTTAGTGAAGTTTCGTGTCTCTATACAGCACTTTTCTGTCTACATTCCTGTAGTAAACCATGTGTCACTGTCTGCCCGCTGAGCAAAGCACTGGATGTTCACTGGGGACACACACGGCATGCTCAGAGCCCCACTGTGGAATGGTGTTTCTCAGCCTCCCTTGCAGCTAGATGTGGCTGGTCACCAGATTCTTGCTAATGGCATGTGGGCAGGAGGGACATGGGTCTTCTGGGACTGTCCTTAAAAATACTGGCACTCCTTCCCCAAGATTCCTTCCGCTTTCTGGGAGAGCCAGGCTGTGCTTGTGCTCATGGCCCATCTCTGACCAGGCCGAAGAGGACAATGTCCTAAGGGACAAAAGAACATGGTGGGAGAAAAATGCAGCGGCAGCTGAACTGGGCAGCCAACCAGGACTGCTCATTTTAGGACCAGACATGTCACTGCAAAGCCAGTGCATTTTTAAGACAGTCTTTATCCTAACAGTCTAACCTTTAGCATTCATTAAAATCTGACTCCCGTTCTCCATCCTCGGACTCTCGAGTTCACATTTGATCCATTACAATCGTCAGGCTCTGTCTCATGTTGCCTGGAGATGTCAGCGAGGGATCATGGAAAGCCTGAGAACTGTGGGGTGGGCAGCTGGCCTGTCATCTGCCACCAGCTCTGGTGGCCACAGTCACAATGTCAAGGGTAATGGGCCATGTTTGTAGAGCTGAAGGAGCACAACAAGCCAAGTATGGGAGAAAGGGGGCAGGATACTTTAGTCTTTCAGAAAATCTTTGATTAAAGTCCCACATCTGTCTTCCTCCCTCTCTATAGCTAGTATAACAGGAAAGCATTTAAAAGTGAAGTGATATTGGGGCCAGCAGGGGCATGGTGGTTAAGGCATTGGGCTCCCGCAAAGCCAACTGGAGTGGTTGGAGTCCCATATGTGGTGGTTTGAAAATCATGCCGGGTGATTTCTCACTTTCCCTTTCTCTGTCTCTCTCTAGTTCTCCAGCGAGCATATAGATCCTATGGCAAAAAAAAAAAAAAAAAAAAAAAAAAAAAAAAAAAACACAAAAAAAAAAAAAAAAAAAACCAACTAAAATTAAAAACAAAACAAAAAGTCCAGTGATATCACCACGGTATTGCAGAAAAATTCTTTTCTGAACCCAAAATTCAGATGTTGGCCACGCAGAAGAAGGAAAGACGGTTTATTTAATGAGCCTGACGATGATCCTGAACTACATACTTTGGAACTAAAATATGATTTTGTTTTCCTGAATATCTTTCTTATCATTCAATGTTCTATCCAGTTCAGAGGAATAAACCTTAACATAAACTGCAAACATACAAACTACCCTCAGCTACTTTGGTGCAAAAAAAAAAAAAAACAAACAAACAAAAAATTAACAAAATAAATGCAAACATTTTAAAAAGGCATGTATTATAGGGGCAACAGGTAGCATTAAAGTTAGGTGCTAGATCCCACATGGCCAACTCCATGGTTCAGGTCCTGGACTTGGTGGCTTGAAAATCATGCTGGCTACGTGTGTGTGCACGGCCAAGATCTCAAGAGGGGACTGGAGGAAAAGGAAATCAACTTCCTTAGAAGGGGTTGATTCCGTCTCCCTGTCTATTCTCTGGTGAGTGCACACGCTTTACAACAATATTTTTTTTTAAATAAACAAACACGTGCACTATAATAGCCAGTTACATCCCCAAATTTGTGTACATGTGGTTAAATACTAAGTACCAAGAATAATCACATGCTGAGACAGACAACTCACTTGTTTAGACAGAGATGGCCAGATGTATTCTGGAAGTCCTCCTCTGAGAGCTGCCAGTTTCGGATGGATCCTTTCACAAACCCTGACACCATGATGAAGCCGAGGACCAGAACGTTGACACAAGTGAACACCTTGTTGACCATGGCCGACTCTTTCACACCAAGGGTTAGGAGCCCTGGAAAAGTGTACAAAAGAAAACTTTTGTCTGAGAATGTAGCTCATACACCAGGGTTATCTTTCTAGGGACAGGGATAAGGACCAGGTCACTAAAAGATATCCAAGTGGTTCTGCACTCCCAGAATGGAGAGGAGCAATCATCTTTCAGGGCAGAGATCTAAACCACCTAGGTCTGCAGGGTGTTCATGAGCTTCTGGGGGGGAAGGAGGACTTCCTTGAGAACAGAAGACGCCACCATGGGGTCACCACAGGACTGCTGAGCTCGGAACGTCCAGGGAAAGCAGGCTGCTCGCAATGGATGGAGAGAGCCTCAACCCACCCATCATGCCACAGTCTTCTCAAGACAAGGACATTACATGGGGCCAGCAGGTGGCGTAGTGGTTAAGGTGTTGGACTCCCACACAGCAGACCACAATTAGAGTCCCACACTCGGTGGCTTGAAACTCAATGCCAGGTCTATGTGCATGCATGGCCAAAATCTCAAGAGGAGAATGGAGGAGAAGGGACTGTGGCATGGCCGTTCCCCACTAGAGGGTGATTTCTCACTTTCTTAGTTACTATCTGTTTCTCAAATGAGCACACACACTCAATAGCAAAAATCTCTTTGAAAAAAAGAAAAGAAAACAATAGGACATTACAGAGGCCTTCGGGAACAAACTAGAAGGAGATACTTTGCTCAGTGTCTTGGTAGAATGACAGTTTCTCAGGTGAAGAAGTATTTATATTTACTCTGGGATGTTAGTACTATCAGCAATAATGTATTTCAGAACCACTAACACATAAGACTCCTTGCTATACTCAGTGCATATAAAATAATATCTAGAAAGACTAGCTCTAGCTTGTAAATTCATACTCTAAAAACCATTTTAAAGTTTATGAAAAAGTTGGAGTTAGCTGGTGGCATGATGGTTAGGGCGCTGCATTCCTACATGGCTGATTACAGCGTGGGTGTCCGTCCCAGCAGCTCGAAAATCACGCCCGGGTGTGTGTGCGTGCATGCCTGAAATCCAAAGAGAATTGAGAAGGAGTTGTGGGGGATATTCCTCACTTTCCCTCTCTTTCTCAGGTGGGTGCATGTGCCCTATGGCAATAACCTAGAAGAAAAAAAAAAAAAACTTAAGAGGACTCCATCGGGGACATCCATAGCTAAACTCTGCTGGGCAAAAAAAGAGCCACAGAAAGGGAAGAGCAACCATTTAGAATGTGCGACTGCTGCCCTGCCTTGGCACCCTTGACTCATTTTCAAATAAAAACCTCTGTACTTATGAGACTCAATTCTGAAATACACATGTTGGAAGAGAATAATTAATCACAGGGGAACCGCCCTAGTCTTCTCCAATATATTTTTTGCCTTCACATCCCTCCCTCTCATGTTTATTAAAATGAAAATCTCACTAGCGCAAACTTATTTCCTGAGACATGTTTCTGCCAGCTGGACCAGAAATATTGCCGAGACCAGCCTGCCTGAAATGATTTCAATTACGCAGTCTGTAAAATAAGGCATGTTGTTGTTAAAATTCATCCAAGACTTTCTAACCTCGGATGAGAATTGATCTGTATCTTAGCTTCATGTTTATACAGCAAATGCCCCCATGGAGCAAAACCCCCCATCCCAGTGACCAAGACACGGACACGTGTCACTAACGAGCAGTTGCTATCCGCTGAGATCAGGCAGTATTTGGAATTTTAAAATTCTGTAACCACAACTCTGTGATGAATCTTACTTATTTCAAGGGTGTTTTGATGGTTGTTAGGTGTAAAATCATCTGAGACGTCTTTAAACGCCCCAGACACACATCAGTGTTCCAGACAAGAGTTCCCTCTGCCACACTTTCCTGGCTGATGAACAACTTTCCTTTTTAAATGGTCATCCACTGAGTCAAAAGAATTTTTGGTCCTGGGTCACTGGTACAAAAAGCCTGCTGTACCAACAGAATCTTCCTCCACAGCTTAACTAAACACTTGAGATTCTCTTTTGATTCAATGGTACACAGGCTTGGTAGCTACCAAACAGGCCAGTCCTATGTAAATCTATATGAAGCCAGGAAGACAGGAACAAATAAAGATGTCTGTTTAAATTACAAAAACTGTAAAACAAGGAAAAATGAAATGGCAGGGAAAGTTAAAGAAAAGGGGCAGCAAAGCAGCAGGTGGCACAGTGATTGGAGCACTGGATCTCCCATGTCTGACTCCGTGGTTCAAGTCCCGGACTCAGCAGCTTGAAAAACACACCAGGCCCATGTGTGTGCACCCCAAATCCCAAGAAGATAGTGGAGGAGAAGGGATAGCAGGGGGAATGATTTTTTTTTTTAACTTTCCCCCTCTCTCTCCCTCTAGCAAGCACATGTGCCCTGTATTGAACAACAAAGACAAAAAGATAAAAGAGGGGTCAGGTGGCAGCACAGTGATGACACGACTGGACCTACAGGGGAAAGGTCCCAGGTTTGCATCCATGAACCCCACGAGCCTTACTAGGGCATCACAGCCTGCAGACACTGTTAGGGATGCCTCTCTCTCAGAAGAAACAAACAAGTAAACTTAAAAAGAGAGAGAGAGGGGAAAGAAAAGATGGGGTGGGCTGATGATACAGTGGTGACACATAATGCTTTGCAAGGTCGACCCAGATGGGAGGGTTGCAGATTCGTGTCCAGAGTCCCCACATAGTGCACTGGGCACATGGGCACCCATGATTCATGGCTAGGTGATGTTGGGGGGTGAACAGTGGTACTGGGACCTACTGGGGATGCTGTCCCTCTGTCTCTGTCTCTCTCTTCATGGAAGAAATAAGCAAATAAATTTAAAGAAAAAGAGAAAACAAAGGAAGATGCTTAACAGGTTTCTTTCACCTGCTGCTCCAACCGAATTTCCTTTTCAACATGTGGCTTTACCTGTTAAAATGAGAATTATAATCACAGCAAATATGTCCGGGTTTTCAGCTAACACCCCCGGAGCATTCAGGGCCATGTGTGTCCTCGAGAATTCTCCGATGGGTTTGCCTATCAGCTCGTCAAACGTTGCACTCCAGGCTCTCGCGACACTTGAAGTACCTGCCACAAAACACACGCAGAAGAGGAAACTTAAGGAAAACCATTAACAGAGTATTTGTTAGTGAGCTTAAGGCTTATAAAGTGCCCACGCCGGGATCACAGAACACTGGAATCTTGCAGCAGTGGCAGTCAGACCACAATACGTTACACTGGAGAGTCAACTAGTGTTTGCAAAGTCCGAGAAGGCTTCGAGGACTTGGAAGGAAATGCATTTTACACCACAACCCAATATGTGCGTGTTCATCATGCATAGAGATTAAGGGATTTCAAGTTTTTGGAAAAGAAGGAATTACAGCGTGAGTTTACTTGGGTGCAAAATTCATGTGTAGCTTCTTCTAAGACATACTTTTCTGTGAACTTTTGGAAGACCTCTTGTGTATTTCCAAATATAAGTTTTACCAAACAATAGTTATCCTTACCCTCTGAGAGGCACTCTGACCCTGATAGTATTTATTCAATTCTACCTATTTAACTTCATTGAAATGAATAAAAACTGGTGATGCTCATGAGGTTGCTTTCAGAATGCACTCCCGTGGTGCAGTCACATTCTGGAGAGAAACTGCTCAGGAAGGCCCTTTTCCAGGAACTCCCCACTTGGAGCAGAGCCTTTAGCACCTATACCCCAAGAACACTGCTCTCCTAGCACAAAGAGGGTCCAAAGAGATCTGCAAAGGGGCAGACCCGATCCCAGGGACAAAGCCACCTGCTCACCCTAGAGCAGCCATCAGCTGCCTTGGTCATTTTGTGCCTGAACCTGGACGTACCTGACTCAGAGACCATGTGTTCCCCTAGTGCAAGACCACAGACAGAATCCACTTCCAGCCTCACGGAGCCCAAGGCCAGCACCACAAATGTCAGCAGCACTGGCTGCTCTATCCCTTTCTCTTTTAGTTCTGAAGAGTCACTGCTTTTCCAATCGTGCATCTCAGGAAATGAAATTCTAATATGCATATGACATTTTGTTTACTTTGAAAGAGGACCTTGCTGGTGACTATGGTCTGAATTATGCACAGAATTTCACCAGGATGATCTGCACAGAAATTCAATTTTATTATTTGGGCTCACACTAAGTATTTTTCCAACAACTAAAAAAAAAAAAAAAAAAAAAAAAGCCAACAAATCATACTTTTTCATCCTGAGCAGACAGCCTATCATGAATTCTGTCCAAGAAAGCCACTGTGTCTCCACCACTCCACCCCTCACAGTGACTGGCTCACTGGGGATTGGGCTCCCAAATATCCCAACCTTTCTCCTCATCTCTAAATCTTAATACGAAACAAATGTATGCTGGAAATACTGCCCTTCCCTAATGGCTAGGGCAGAGAATGAATATCCTTTATGCACACAAGAGTCTTATATAGCAAACAGCACTCTGGTAAAGCTTCTGCCATGGAATATCTGCCAGTCCAGAAGCAACAAGCATTCCATGCCCAGTGCTTTGTTTATGCCCAGGTAAATCCTCTGGAAACACAATGGTCCATTTAAGACAGCTACATTCTCACTGAGAGACCTCAGTGATTACAGACTGAGAGCCACTTGTGATTACACATTTGATGTTGCACTGAAAAAAACAATCACAAATTCTATTTGGAACTTAGAAGAGTGAGCTGTGTTGGTTGTCAGCAGATACTACAGCTACTGGAAAGAAAGGTCACACAGAGAGCATGAGCCCTCTGCCCGCCAGCCTGGTGGAGGCCAGAGATAAAAGACTACAGGACCATGGGCAGGTGGTCCCAGCAGACAGCACACGGCGTGACAAATGAGGTTCCCAGAGAGGGGGGACACAGAAGGGAGCCAGGACCACATGGCTCCACTTACCACATGAGCGTTTTTTGATAACGTTAGAATAAAAAAAAAGGTTTATTGGCCATTTCCATGTCTACTTGTATGAAGTGGCCTACCATGCCACCTCCTTATTCATATCCCCCCAAGTTGATGTGTTTAACTTTGGTTGTGATCAAAATACAAAGAACATACTCAAATGCAAAGTGGGGCCAGCTAGAACATACTCAAATGCAAAGTGGGCCAGCAGGTGGTACAGTGGTTAAGGTGGCCAGATCCCACATGGCCAACTGTGCAGTTTCAGCCCTGGACCGGGAGGCTTGAAAAACATGCTGTGTGTGTGTGTGTGTGTGTGTGTGCCCAAAATCCCAAGAGGAGGGAGAAGAGAAGGGATTGTGGTGTGTCCATCTTCCTGGAAAGGTTCTTTCTCTCCTTGCCGCACCCCTACTTAGCATGTGCACACACTTTCTGACAAAATTTTTTTTTAAAATAAATTTGGGGACCAAGAGATAAGGATGGTCTCATAAGGGTTAGGCATAAGGGTTACATCACTGGACTCCCACGTAATTGACCGTGGTTTGAGTCTGGAACCTGGCGGCTTAAAACTTATGCCGGGTACCTCTGCATGCATGCCCAAAGTCCCAAGAGAGGAGAATGGAAGAGAAGGGATTGTGGTGAGGCCATCTCCCAGGGTGTGTGTGTGTGTGAGTGTGTGTGTGTGTGAGTGTGTGTGTGTGTGAGTGTGTGTGTGTGTGATTTCTCCCTTTCTGTCGCTCTGTCACTCCAGTGAGTGCATGCACCCTATAGCAAAAAATCTCTCAAAAAAGAAATGACCCTATAGCAAAAAATTTCTCAAAAAAGAAATAAAAATCTTAAATGCAAAGCATTGGGTCAATAAATAGAGTGGTGATTAAGGTACTGGATTCCCACAGGGCTGACTGCAGTTCGAGTTCCAGACCCGGTGGCTGAAAAGCACAACAAATAAACATTTTTAAACAGTTCGAGTTCCAGACCCGGTGGCTTGAAAAGCACAACAAATAAACATTTTTTTTAAATGCAAAGCATTTTTTTGCCTGCCAAACTGAAAATATGTTCTATTTTTGGTTTCTTTGTTGGGTGGTTGTGATTAATGTTACTGCTCAATGCTGGCACTATGAGAACAGGAACTCCAGCAGAACGCAGCATCAGTGGACCAAGGACTTAAAAATATGTAGAACCATTGACTTAGACATTCTGTTTCTCAGACAGTTTAAAGGAAAAAAAATCATGGCTGTGCCCAAAGATATATAGTAATTAACCATTTGTAATGACAACACCACAACAGAAAACAATCTATTTATCCACAAGGATATCCAATAAATGATGCTGTGTATATGAAACTATGTAATGATAAGCAACCATAGAAAAATCCCTATAGAAGAAATAGCTAATGGTATGAGAAATGCTTACCATATATTGCATAAAAATACACATGAAATCCACAAAATTATTACCAATAGTTACATCCTTACATAGCAAGTACTTATGAACAGACTGTCTTATTGCTGCACAGTATTCCTGATAGCTAGCATAACGCCCAGCCCAGAACAGGTGCCTAATAAATACTTGTTGAATGAATGAATAAGAGAATTAGTTTCTCCAAGTTGTCAAGTTGGACATTTCTATTTTCTCCTTTGTGCTTTTTTGTAGTTCCCAAAATTTTCTCTACTGGTGCTGCAGTCTACTCTAGTAATAATAATAATAATAAAAATTAAAAAATCAAAGACATGAAATACTTTCTAACTAATTGGAAACATCCTATCAATGGTCTCATGCTAACAGGAGTGACTACCTGGCGGGCTTTGTTTGGGCCCCGCACAAGGGCACTGAGCAGGGGAAGCCTGGTCACTACAGTGATACCCACAGGCTGCTTAACCTCTCCTAAGAGGAAAAAGAAATATTATAGAGGTCAAGCTAGGAGATCTCCTGGGAGGCCTCCGAGGTTCATTCCACAGAGGAAGAAAATCTGTAGTGAGAACAGACAGAAGGATGGCGAAGAGCGCGGGCTCCAAGCCTGCTGGGACCTACCGATGATGTAGGAGAGGATTAAGTTCCAACCAGTGATGAAGGCCCAGAGCTCCCCAACGGTGACGTAGCTGTAGAGGTAGGCCGAGCCCGTCTTGGGGACCCGAGCACCAAACTCGCCATAGCACAGGCCTGCCAACACCGAGGCCAGTGCGGCGATCAGGAAGGAGATGACAATGGCGGGGCCGGCGTTCTCACGGGCCACAGCTCCGGCCAGCACATAGACACCGGCACCCAGAGTGCTGCCCACACCCAGGGCCACCAGGTCGAAAGTGTTCAAGCAGCGAGACAGCCGGCTCTCTTCCCGGCTGCAGTCCACCACCTTCCGCCGCAGCATCTGGTGCCCGATGTCGAGCAGAAATTTGCACCCCATTTTGCTTATTCAAATCTGCCAAGAAAAAGAACAGAAGGCATTTTGTTACTGTCATTCATTTCACCCATTTACCCTGTCTTAATTGCCTTATCAAGACACAGCCAGTGATGGGGCCCTTATTCACCATTTCCTGCTAAAATGTTTCATTCTTAGATTTCCACAACTGATGGGTTATCCGAACACCACACTACTCCCCTAGTCTCAGGTCTCCCGGGTGCATACAGAAACACCCTGGGAGGCCAACAGACCCAGCTGACGTGGATGTCTCTGAACCTCTACATTTATTTCTCTGGGATATTTCTACGTATTCCTTTGTGCTTTCTAATAGTTCCTAAAATTTTCTCTATTAGTGATGTATTCACTCTAGTAATAAGACGAATTCAAACTCTAACTAATTAGAAACAGATTGTTAATCATCTCTTATGTTAACTGGAGTGACAACTTTTTTTTTTTTTTTTGAGAGAGAGATTTTCGCTATAGGGCGCGTGCGCTCACCAAACAGACAGAGAGAGACATAGAGACAGAAAGCGAGAAATCACCCCCCAGGAGGGATGGTCACGCCGCAATCCCTTCTCCTCCATTCTCCTCTCGGGATCATGGGCACGCATGCACACCCGCCCGGCGTGAGTTTTAAGCCACCAGGTCCGGGACGCAAACCGCGGTCGACTACGTGGGAGCCCAGCGACATAGCCATTACGCTAACTGGTGGTTCCCTGGAGTGACAACTTTTCAGGCCTGACTTGGTCCCCACACAAGGGCACTAAGCAGAGGAAGCCTGGTTAAGAAGAAGCTTCTGAACCAAGAACCTTCCATGCGTGGAAATGATGTAGGATAGGAAACATTAATGCCATGGTTCCTACCCTCAGATCATACCATTTCAAGTAGGCTGTAATGAAAGCAAACCAAAACAGATCTGAATTGAATTATTGAAACTTGAAGGCCCTGAATAGCAATGACAATGCTTTCTATTGACATTTTTCTGAGTGCAAGAATCAAGTTGTTTCTACTTTAAGTTAACACAGAGTTAAGTTCAGAGCAGAAAATGCTGAGTTGTTCTAAGTGAGGACATTTTGTCACCGTTACTGCTCCAGGAAGCACAGTCCTACTGGGCTCAGTGTTCATCCATTGTGCTCCATGAAATACTCCCCAGCGCTTACCAAGAGGGGGCATAGGCTCACTCATACAGGGGACTATGTCGTCCCATGTCGCAGGCATGCACCCAAGTGCCCTAGGGCATCTCACAGGCCATGGGACAAACGACCCCGTGGCAGCTTCTAGGTTTCTTTCCTGTGTTTCACAAGCCTGGGCTGGGCCAGGTGCCCCTCTGAGTGGGAGCTTCAGGTCCTACTCCTAAGAGCAGGCTACGCACGGTGACCTCCTTCTGAGGAGCAGGTGGTAACTATGGTGAGGATACCTGGCAAGTCATGCCTCAGCCAGCAGTAAAGGCCAGGGTTCTGTGATGTGTGACCTAATGAGGAGGCCATATTCCCTCCCTCTGCAGTGGTCCTCCTCGAAACTCATCTCATCATGAGAAAACAGGCAAATTGCAGCTGGATCAGGGTACAAAACACCTGGTCAGTACTCCTCAGAACTGCCATCGTCACCCAGAACAAGGCAAGTGTGAGGATCTGTGAGAGCCACGCGGGACGGACTAAGGAGCATGAGGCCAAGGGCGAAGCGGTGAGAGCCTGGCTGGGACCCTGCAGCAGAAAAGGGACACCAGGGACAACAAACAAAATGGGTAGAATATGGGCTTCGGTTAATAACATGTCAATACTGGCTCACTAGTGGTAAGAGATGCACCAACCTAAGATACGTGCTAACGGGGGGCAGAGAGAGGGTTATGAGGGGACACTGTATGATCTCAACAAATCAAAGAGTTTAAAAAAAAAAAAAACAACTATGCTATACCATGATTTTTTCAATGTGATCATCAATTAGTATTTACTGACCCAATTTCACTGAAATTAACTGCTGGAAAACAAAGTAGCTTCTATGGCAATCATGGGTCTAGAGGAGCCCAGGTCTGACCACTGAAAAGACCCCAGTACCTGCCCACACCTCTGCATTCTCCACCACAGGGCATGGGGCAGCCAGCATCATACCCCAGCCTCACAGCTCAGGGCCCTCTGCCATGGCCAGGTCGTGGGCCAGCTCCAGGTCACAGGTAGGGGGTAGTCCTTTCAGCTTTTTATCTGACAGGCCAAGAGGAGAGAAAATGCTCAAGACTGGAAAACCTTTTTAGCAAGAACGGTGAATAAAAAAATTATCTAATCCCATCCCCTTGCTAGGAGTTGGAAAAATAACTCAGAGAGCCAGTGTCAGTCGGACACGGTCACGAAGCTCCCAGGTGCAGTGAGGGACTCCTCTGGGATCCTGGCGCATTGCAGGTGGGGAGGAAATGAGATCACGGCATAGCAAAGAGGAAAGGAAACAACGAGATGGGGCAAGAGTGCTGTATATGGAACACCAGTGGAAGGGAAAATTGGACGCTGGAGTTAGCTGGGAGCAGAAAAGGGCAAGAGAGGCCAACAAGAAGCCAGCCCAGAGACCAGGGGCCCCACCCACTCAGCCACGCACTGGACGCTGCTGTAGACCCCAGCTCTCTCCCAGGGAGCCCCGAGGGGACTTTCTCCTGAAACTGCCATTCTCCTTCCTTCCTTACAGGATTTCATCTGATTTTTTTTTTCCAAATTAAATTGTAAATCACATCAAAGCAATTAGTAAACAACTGCTTGGATAGTAAGTTGACAAAGATACAAATATCCACAGAAGCCATAGCAGAAAAGACTCAGCTAGGGGAAGCACAAAAACTGCCCTAGAGTAGCTGCTCCACATCCCGTCCTGGCCAGAGGGAAGAATTCTAATGGGACAGAGGCCTTGAGAGGAGGGGTGTGAAGGCTCCACTTTCCCTGACTGGTTTTTCTGGCTGTGGCTGTGGCTGTGGCTGTGGCTGACAGCACACACAGAGACAGTGCCTGCCTGGCCCCACGTTCTCCCAGAATGAGTGGATTCCCTCCTCAAAATCCCAGACACTAAATGCAAGGCCAAGACAACACTACTCAATAGCTTCTTCTGTCCAAGCCTTCGCAGAGGACAGTAACCCAAGGGCCCGGAAGGCCCAGAGTGCCTCTGCCGCTCTGTCTTGAGCTCCCTGTGAGGGCTGGTCCCTAGCATATGCCCTTTTCTTGAACGTGTGTAGCTGTCCTGGGCAGCACTGGAAGCTGCAGGAGTGGTCAAACTGATCTTCGTTACTTTTTAAGTACCCAGCTATCTAGGGAAAGGACTGACTTAAGTCCATTAGAAGATATGAACTAAAATGCAGCCAAGAGCTGCCGAGAGGCCCAAGCTGAGACCTGGAGAACACACGTGTCTCAAGTCAGCTGTTCATTTCTACCTCCCAGGATGGGAGAGAATGAGGTGCCCACTCACTACGCCCCAAGTTTATCTTTCCATAGTATCTTTTCTGTCTCCTTGGAAGTAACACAGAAACCAGTTCTCCAGGTGACATTATCCATCAGCATTATTTTACACATCACACCAGCACTTACATTCACGCAAGGACTCCACAATGCATCAGCAAACAGGGCGGCTAAACATAGCTTCTCTGCCCCAAACTCTGACCATGCTGACTCCAGCAATGTCAAGTTGATCCTGACTTCCTGCAGCCGAATTTTACACAAAAAAATTGCCTGAATGTTTTGAAAGCATTACCTGGAGATGTGGTTATCCTTTCATCTGGGGGATAATTTGTACAAATTACCTACTTTTACTTAAGGTTTTGGAAAGAATCTTGCAATTCCAAGAGTCTCAGATGCATCACACTTTCAGTCATTTATTGAAGAATATTTACCTCAGGTGGCATCCCCTCAGAAAAACAAAGAAAAATTGCCCCTTTCCCACAGAAATTCTAACTCCAAGTTTTATTCTACTGATTACTACATAAAAATAGAAGTAAAATGAGTCAGGCTTTCAGATATAAAGACTTCCTTATTCCGTTTTAAACAGTTCTGATAAAAGTGGACAGGTATATATGGTATGACTTTTTCCACTTCTTTTTTAAAAAAATTTCTTTCTTAAGAGACAGATGCAGGTCCACACCAGAGCTAAGAGAGAAAAGGAGGGCCCCCCCCCCAATGGGTCCCCATGCCGATTACTCAGCCAGCCTAGAACATGGGTGCACACATGTCTGGGTTGCCTAGGGAGGTCCCTGGACACAAACCCAGCCCTTCCCATGTAGACCCAGTTGTGATACTACCACGCTACTGCCCGACCCTCACTCTCAAATTCAGTTGATAACTACATCACAGGAAGGGGCTAGAAGTAGGCTATCTATCCTTTCAAGAAAATCTTTTTTAAAAATAAATAAATAAATAAATAAGATATTTTATTTATTTATTTTAATTTGACCAGAGGGGGACAGAATGAGAGAGTGAGAAAAGGATAGTGAGAAAGCAAGCCACCAGGTCAGGGACTCGAACTGTGGTTGGCCATGTGGAAGTCCAAGACCCTCAACCACCACACCACCTGCTCGTCCCTCAAGAAAATCTTAATACTGAACCTTTGAGCTGATCCTATTAGCTTGTTCTTTCAGTGATCTTCAAGATGGTCCAGACCCCAATGACCTGCTTTCATCAGGTCACAGTGGAAGTATGAGTATGGTAGAGTAAAATCTACCACTCCAAGAGAAGACTATGAGCCACATTTGTATCAAATTTTAAAATCTATGTTTAGAAGGAGAGTGGGTTATGGGTCATCCTAACAGGTGGGCATAATCGCCCGAGTCACTGCAGCCTCCTACAATGAGAGGGCCTGGATGACCACATGACCGTGTGTGGGTAGCTGCCATGGGGCCTGAGTGCTCCAATGAGGGCACATGCGGCTTCAACAAAGTGGCAGAATTCTCATGACTTAGTGATCTGTGACCAAAGAAGTAGGAAATAAACAGAAAAGAGAACTCTCAGATGTTGGCCAATGTGGGAGGGAAGACTCAATGACAAGGGAAAAAACCCACG